GACTACCTGAAAACGTGCAGTTCTGCAAATGCCTTCTCTCCCATTCTCTCTCTACAGCAAGTTGCAGGGAAACCCTTTTCATTTCCTTGTGTGAGTGTATGACTCCAGTCCTGGGAGAGGCAGCTACATCTGGTGGTTAAGGGACCCAACCCCTAAGCCCTTCTTGTCTCTCCTGAGGATGCAGCCCGACCTTCTCTTGGAGCCCTGACCCCTCTGCAATGAGAGGACCCTGGGGAACCCCTCTGTGTCCACACTGGTGGAAACGTGCTCCCTATGAGCCCTCCGAGGTCCCAGGCACCAGTGGAGACTCAGCTTAGTTCTCTGTTCCCTGCTGGGGTTCCACCTGCATCTGGAAATTTCATTTCCCGTTTCCTTGCATGTGTCTGGGGCTGCATATTTCAGACGTACTGTGAGTGGCAGTCCTGGTATTCTGAGCAGACAAGGTTTCCAGTGGGCACACGAACCAGCCACCTGACTGCACAGTCGGGTCCCAGGACACCGTCGGCGCAACAGGACCCTCAGCCCATGCTCGTCCTCGCTGGTCTGGAAACTCACAGCTCCCCATCCCTCCCGTGACCTCGACACCCAGTCCCCACAATCACTCGGGGGGGTGAGTTCAGGACGACATGCAGCAGATGGGAACTGGGGCTCAGAGCAAGGACATTACCTCCCAAGGTCATGCTGGCAGAAGATGAGCCAGGAATAGTTCAATGAAGATCCACTTTCCTTCAAAATCAGAGCTCTAGGGCGCCTGGGTGGCTCAGTTGGTTAAGCACCTGCCTTCGGCTCAGGTCATGATCCTGGAGTCCCGGGATCGACTCCCGCATCGGGCTCCCTCCTCGCGAGGAGCCTGCTTCTCCCTCCGACCCTCCCCCACCTCACGTACTCTCTCTCTCTCATTCTCACTCTCTCAAAATAAATAAATAAGTCTTTAAAAAAAACCAAACAAAATCAGAGCTCTAGCCCAAATAAATATCCCCTGATGCTTGCACACAGGACCCCCCAGGGTGGGGAGGACGGCTGTGTCCCAGGAACAAGGGGCACCGAGGAGCCAGGAGGGACTCACAGCGATATTCCCAAGAAGGGGGAGGTGGACAAGGCCAGAGCAAAATAGGGAAGTTCCTGGAGGTTGTAATAGAGAGAGAACCTACACTGCAGGGCCATGAGAAGCCTTGTGTTTCCTTCCTCATTTGCCTGTATTTCTCCTCGGGGCTCATTGCCACCGTGACCTCGACTGAGCCAAGCAGAAATGTCACACAAGTGCCTCTGCTGAGATGAGCTCCCCAGCACAGCAGGAACCCACGTCGCCTGCAGCATCTCTGGGCTCTGGGGGCCCCGTCCACGGTGAGGACCCCAGGGATGTGCTGAGGATGGAGACCCCGTGGGGGAGGCTCTGGAGGGAAGGACATGCCCTGCTCTCCTCACCTGGATGGGGCATCTCAGGAAGCCTCGGGGTCCACTTGCTGCACCATCATGGGCACCAGAGCCAGGCTAGGTCCTGGGGAGGGGCTGTTCCCCTTCCTGTGGGGCTGCTGACGTGACAACCCAGTGACGGACAGGACCAGCCTCCGCATGACCACACCCT